GCCCGCACGATGAAACTTTCACTACGCGAAAACTAACTCTAGCGGAAACGCAGATATCTTACACACAGATCGGTAGACACGACACTCATAAACGGCAATCTCGAAAAGCTCGAAACGGTAACTTAACTCTAATGACTGTTGAGCCGATCCGCGAGGTTTGATCTCGCAACACGCGCCACTCTCATGACGCATGGCCGGTGCCACGCGGTCGCTCGTCGTTACTCGATTACCCTCAAACTCTTATACCACACCGGTCGAGTCGGGAAGAAACGGACGCCCCTTCGGTATTATTACGGGGAGTCAGCGGGCGGGCTATGTCTTACCCGTAGAAACGAAACGGAAAAGCGATAATCCCGGCAAGGGATTCACGACAATGACGCGTAGGTAAGGAAACTCTCAAGCAAACCTACGCGTCTCTCTCTCAACAATAACGCGAAACGGTACTCGACAATTCGCCTCGCTGTTCCCCGATACCTGCGGTCCGGGATTGCTGGTCGTTTACATCTCGTCCTTCCTTCCTTCACAACGTAACTCCTAGGGCCGCCGCCCTCGCTTATTCCCGGCGCAACGGGAAGGCCCTTGCCGTACGTCAGCCCACGCTCGCGATCGACCCAACAGTGCCGGGATCGTTTCCGCGGCTTCGACTCGCGGCCCTCTAGATCAGGGCGCTTCACCGCACCGGCGGATGGCGCCACACTGTCGAAACGGGCCCTCCGGCCGCTTCTTCCTGAAAACTATAAACTCGGCAGTACGCGCGCAATACAAAGATGGGGATGGGAAAGACTGTGACTTGCACACGGTGCAACGTCACAACTGATACATTGTGTTTTTAACATATTGCGACTCCGATTGATGGTTTAGAAAGGACGATCGAATCTCTCCTTTCTACCTGGTTTTCTAACCTGAGAATAAACGTTGAAGATGCGATCGATTCGGAGCATTTGTATATCGGCATATCCTGACAGACTACTAAACATTCGTATGAATTTTATTTTATTGAATTGACTGCGCTTTTCTACTGATTGACTCATTTTATCGCGATTGACTGTAATTTATCGTCTGAAATTTTTATGTATATTTTTATTTTTACGCTGAAGATGACACAAAAAAGTGTCAAAACGTTCGAATTTGTATTAACTAATATATATATTTTATTATTGATTTATTTTGATTGCGCATTAATTACCGCGAGTGGCTCTGATTGCCTCTCCTACTTTCCTTTATTTGATTTAAAAATTAAAACAACAATGTGTAATAATAATATTAATAACATACCGATATGAATTTGCGGTGGCCATTTTCCATATAGCGATAAATAATTGTTTTTTAGGTGATATTGTTTTACGTCCTGATTTTAATCTTAGTAATTTAGGTTTTAAAATTTGTAGAATAAAATTAAATGTTGCTCGCTTTATTATAAAAAAAGGTTTTATTTAAAAAATTAAATATTCTTCCTCATCCAATAATAATTTTAATAATGTTATTATTTGCGCAAATATAACACACAATAACCTATCGTCTGCCATTTTGACGTGCTCATAGTCGCTTACATTGCCAAAACGAACGACATTCTTTCTTACTATTGTGTAAGCGCTCAGATACCAAATCGAACGATTGAAAACAGCGCTTATAAGCGTGAGCGTTTACAGCGCGTGAGCGTCCAAACCGAACGCACCCAAAGAATGTAATAGTATTAAAATTGCAATACTTGCTTTTTTCGAATGTTTTAATGCTTCTGACTATTTTTTTCTTTGCTGGTTTTGAATGAATTAAGTCGCAAAAAGACAAAATTATTGTCATCGATATGATAATGTATATATTAATTATAAAAGCACTCTAGTATCTTACTGGCTCAAAGGATGTAGCGATAACTTTCGAATGCAGGGGTCATACGTTCGAATCAATTGTTTTTTTTTTTTTTTAATTATTTGTTGCCCGTAAAAGTAACATAACAATTATTAATTTATATGAAATTGGCGTTTAAAAATGTGTATTGGCGAAGTATAATATAACTAATTATAGGTATACATACGAAAAATTAAATTATTGAAATTTAATATAATTTATTAATTATTCCAATTTCATGTATTCTTTTTATTCATTATTCTTGATTACATTAACAGAATTACATTAACAGAAGACGTGATCGACTTAATTAACGATTTAAATAAAACATAGAATCAGCAGTAAAAAATTAACTATCACGACGACGATAACAAAAAAGAACATGCACGCGAAGAGCGCCTCCAGCCACAATTATCTTGCCACGATCTCTTCTAATTTATCACCTATTTTTAAATAACGGATTATTAAATATTAAAAATTGTGATACGGATGAAAAAATCGTCGCGACAAGATTGAAAGGCAGCGGGTGACGTTAATCCTCGTCGCAAATTAAATTTCAAAAATATTTCGCGGAACAGATTTTCATTACATTGTAACGGCCTGACTTTATCGAACGCGGACTGGCTTACAGGATCGGGAGTTCGATGAAAGGCCCAGAGACGGTAATCAATTTGCCATGTGACAGTAACATACAATTTATTCAAAATTCTGATATGAAATATAATATACAATACTCGGGATCCGGTATTACAAACTTAGACGCGGTAGGTTATAGTGGCCGGTAGTGCCGGTGCAATGCGACTCGGTATATGCAATATCGGGGCTCGAGTCTTCGCCTCGGGCTGCGGCACGCCGAGGCGGGAATAACGCAGCGCGGTATTTAACAGTACGGAGTCCGTCGCGGCGTATATACAGATAGACAATAACGGAACGCGGTATATTACATGCGGAACGCGGAGACAGATTAATACATACAGTAAGATATAAGATGATAACGTAACGCGGTAGCTTACATACGGAACGCGGGTGATTATGTACGGAACGCGGTATATTACATGCGGGCCGCGACTATAGCTATCAGAACGCTTTATATGATGCACGGGTAAGATAGCGCGGTAAATTGCATCGGAGGATGGCGGAATCCCGGGATCACGGTTGTGAGAACCCTCGCGGCGAGGCCGAGCACGCTCGACCCCACGGTACCGTGGTCGTCGGGGCAAGTATCAGGGAGCTCGGGAACACTCTGAGAACCCTCAGTCGAGAACCAGAACTCTGGACCTCGTTGTGCGTGTTGCCCTAGGATTCGGAAGGTATCTTCGTCAGGAATAGCGGAAAGCCGTGGTAAAGACGAAGTGTCTTTTCGTCGAGCGCGCCGGCTTTTTATACCGCTCGGCGCGGTGAGCTTGGCAGGAGGGAGGCCGATCGTCAGGCGACGGTGCTGTGGTGGGGAGCGGCGCGATCCCGCGTGCTCGCTTCGGCGGGGATCGGCTTGCTTCGGCGCTCGTCGGCATCGTGCGGGAGGGCACCGGTGCGGCGGATTTCCCGCGCACACGGTGCGTTTCAAGTATTTAAAAAATGTGGGCGCACCGCGCCCTGTGCACGCCCGACGGGGAATCGGTCGGGCGGCTCCCGGCGGGTAGTAGCCGGGGACGATGCGTTGTCATAAGAAGTGCATCGTTACAACGTTAGGCGGTTAGGACTCAAACATACAAGAGCCACAGTTTGGCGCAGGAATATGATAAATAGTTCTATATAAAAAATACTTCCGCGATAAACACTATCTTGGATAATACTGATCCAATTTTTGTTGCAAGGCTGTGCGCGTAAAATATGAAAATATACATTGCTCTTCTTTTACGTTGCAATACTGTGAATGCAACGCTTAAATTAATACTGCTCGATCTTGTCGCGCAATCGCCGCCTTTCAATTTGTCACGACGAGACACGGCGAAATCGCAAAACGGCAAAACGCAAAAAGATCGCAAAACTAGACGAAAACTATCTTACAAAACAGGCGCGTATTGTCTCCAGGGATTTATTGTTGCTCTTCCATATCTTCCGCGTGCTAATTAAAAACATTCCTTCGACGACAAAAATAGAGTATAAAAAATTGTTTGAAAATCCTTAAAAATGCGTCTTTATATGGTGCGTATATAATAGCGGCACCGCATCGACGCTTCATCAATGACACGTTTTTGTATTTAACTCTGTGAAATATTATAGGCAATCACAAAACGTCGGGGCAAAATGCAGTTCATGATCCACGGGCGCTATTGTAAAAAAAATAATTTAAACGTAAATATAAAAAACAAATGTTCGTCGATACGCGCTTTTCCCGTTCCAATTCTCGACCCTTTCCGTTCTTCTAGGCGCGTACAAGCTCTCACTTAGGCCCTCTCGTATCTTACATTTTACGATTTTGTCTCTCCGTGGGGTCAAGGTATCTACGTTAGGATTGTTTTATTAGTAAACGGACGTAAATACCTCTTGCAAAAATACAATCTCTCTCATACGCTAAGAAAGATCCGTTACATGCTACGTTACACTTCGTGCTTATTTGCTTAGTCGCATTAATTATCGTTTCCACGGACTTTAGACTGATTCCAACCGAAATGTTCGATAATAGTGTGTGACCTGTGGCAAGAAAGGCGCAAAACATCGTTCAGCGAGACTTTATTTTGTGCTGCGCGAACGAATCGACGCTCGTTCGAAACATTTCCCAGCTAATTTCTATCTGCGAATCTGAAATCGGTATACCGATGCATCCCCAGATAGCACAGCTGATTGTTATGAATTCGAAAAGACTTCACCTTTTCAAATTCTTTAAGAATACCCGTAATTTGTCCGAAATAAACTCAAAAAGAATTCCTTCAAAAAGAATTCCATAGAAGTGACTTATGGAATTAATCTAAATGGTCTTAAAAGGAATTCTTTTTCTATTCATAATAGGTTCGAAGAGAATTCACTTAATACGCATGCGCAGTCTATAATGCTTTCTCGAGCCGTCTCGAGGCAGCATTGCAGCGTTTCTATCAGTTTCTATTTGTCTTCTCTGGTCTTCCTGGCGGCTTTCTCGCTATTTCGCGCTTCTACGTGCTTCTGCATCGGAGAATATTACGCTTGGACGTAATATATTTACATTAGTTGGCCGTAATTGACAACGTACGTATTGACACGACCGTTAATAATTTTTGTCGTCGAGAAGAAAATTTGAAGGTAATTAAAGCATTTTATTAATTTTCTTAAGTTAATTTCTTACAAATACTCGATAACTTCATCATCACACACGTTGTGATATGATTAAATTTACATCTGATTTCGATTTTTACTAGGTTTTTACTCGAGATCGCACATTTTATAAACGATTCAACTTAACCTAACCTATTGTTCTGATTGTGAGAACTCGAAGGATTCGAGCTGGCTTGTCACGCCTATACATTGCCAAAGGTAAACCTATTAATTGTTCTGATTGTGAGAACTCGAAGGATTCGAGCTGGCTCGTCACGCCTATACGTTGCCACAGGTAAAACCTTATATTGTTCTGATTGTGAGAACTCGAAGGATTCGAAGATTATTTTGCAACATTTTCTTCCTGAAGAATATTTAATTCACTTTAACAGTCTCAATTGTGCTATACGGATATTGTGCGATCCCTGAAATTGCTACAGAAACAACGCTTATGCTAAAGAATTGCTGATTTATTTTGTACAGCAATTTAAGACGTTGTATGGGGAGCAATATGTTGTGAGTAACATTCACTCTCTTATTCATTTAAATGAAGATGTAAAGATGTACGGTCCATTAGATTCATACAGTACTTTTGATTTTGAAAATTATATGCAAGTGTTGAAGCGAATGATACGAAAACACGCTAATCTTTTGCAACAAATTCATCGACGACTAATCGAAAAGTACAGTTACGATCAACATCCTCAAAATAAGAAGAATCAGAAGATTTTGAAGCATCCTATACTCAAGAAGCCAATTGTGTCAGAACTTCCTTTGGGTTGCCACAGCGAGCACCAAATTCTACAAATCCGCATGTTTGAATTATCAAATAAAAGGCCAGACAACTGTTGCTTCCTGACTGATGCAACTATCGTGATGATTAAGCACATTGGATTAATGGAAAATAAGATTGTTGTTCTTGGTAATAAATTTCTAAACAGATCTGATATTTTACATTATCCGTGTCCCTCAAGTAACATGAATATATACAAAGTTGAAAATCTGTCACCTTTACAAATGTAGCTTGTACAATGCATTGAACGTAAAGGATTTTTAATGACAATCGAGAACATTACTTACGCCATGCCTTTTTTACAAGATTGATATGAGGTGATGTGGAATCATACTTTGCAGATGCAGACTTTGTAGTATTTTTTGACGACTTTTGTAATCTCGTACCAGAAAATTGGATGGATTTAGAATCAAACAAAGTTTTTTGGCCTCCAAAACAGGTCAAATTTAATAAAAACAAAATGCATTATCTACATCCAAAAGATGACTGGCTTATATACGAATGCCGTAAACGTTTGGGACCTTTTGGTGCGTTTTTTTCAAGAATGTTAAATATTTAGAAAATATTAACTTACTGTACACAAATAAAAACTAACACTTTTTGCAGAGTCTTTTCAATTAGCTAATCAAGTAGAAGAGCACTGCATGAACATATCTACAAATAAAGATACTGATGACGTGTGACAAAGCTATTAAGGCATCTGAGGCACAAAAGATACGAAATAAGAGAAAGCCAGCATGGCTTCGGAACGAAACGTTGGCGTCGGAAGAAGAAGTAGAAGAAGAAGTAGAAGAAGAGGAAGAAGAGGAAGAGGAGGAGGAGGAGGAGGAGGAAGAAGAAGAAGGTAATGTAAAGTAAATTTCCAATGAAATTTATTTAAAAAAATAGCAACATAAATATACGTAACTAAATATAATATATTTTGCAGTAACCGAAGAGATATGTAAAAGAGATGGTACTGTAAACTCGTTTGTGTTACCATCATCTAATTTATCAGTCTACAAATTCGGATAAATGTAAACTCTCTCCAGTAAATGCAAAATCGACAACCGTTAACTTTCCTTTGCAAACTGTTGAAGAATTCGAAGAATTTGAACGAAATCTTGTCGAGTCCTTGGAAGTACAAAAATTCTACGTAAGAGATTATTTGTCATACTTTTCTTTACAATACAAATGCTCAAATCGTAATGATATATTTGCTTTTATTTTTGCAGGTTAATGAGATAAAGATGATTGGAGGATCTGATGCAGGCAAATTCATACCAGAGCCACATTGCGCTTCTTAATGTCGAATCAGCTAGCAATAAAGTATTCTTGGTCCGGTCAAAGAAACACATTAAAATTTCAAACTACTCGAATTTCTCAACTCATTGTCGGTGAGTTAATAAGCAACATTTTCTTCTTCAGTTTTTAGATTACCAAATATTAATGTTTAACTTTTACAATATCTATATACTTATACTTACAAAACATTATGTTGCAGAAACCATCTCGAAAATAAAGAACGTTCCTAAGAACGACATTGGGATATTTGTTAAGAAGTGGCTGCAGCACGCTAGTGACCGGATAAAAAAAAAAGACCTAGATTATATTATAGGTAGATTCAGGAAGCATAATTTTGGCGCTATTTTCAACTTTTATCTCGCTCGATTTGTACAAGCGATGATGTACGTATTATTTGTAACGGTATAAAAATGAGTTTAATTTTGATTTAAGATGAAAGAAAACTTAATTTTATTTTGTTTTATTATACATTATAATTATTTTGCATCGGCCGCTTGACAGAACTCAATGAGCCCGCTTTCGTGTTATAAACGTTACAATGTAATCGCGTGTAAATGTGCTGGACGCGTATACCGCTCGGGACATAAATTATCTAATTAAACACGATTGATTTTCCAAAACTCGCCTTGTTGCCCCGGCGAAAAAACTCATGCGTTGCTCACCGCTATTCGTATAATTATATTCTACTTTTATGTTTTCCTTTCAATCGCTAAAGACTCTCATCCGATGAAGCATTAACGGGACGCGCGGAAGTGCGTCCGAATTCCGAAATACAACGATCGTCGCTGCTTCTGCGAAGTAACAATATGTTTGTAGAATTTCGAATCGTTACTCGATCACTCTATTGGGACACTTTTATATTTTCATAATATCATATTATACATTGATTATTTTGCATATAAAATTTTATTTTACGCATGTCTGTATGTACGATAAATATGTCGCTCATATTATACAAATCGTTTGTTATAACAATATGATACTTACAATATTTCAAATCTGTATACCAATTTAGTAATATAATCATTAATCGATATACCTGAATCATGGATACTTCTATTTTATATTTCCTATATTTATTTTCTTAATTTCAGTGTTTATAATCCTAATATTCTGTCTGTAACATCGGATAAGAAAGAATCCTTCATAATCTATCCGAAAACAGTTTCTGCATCAGAAAGAACATAAAATGGATTAGTACATTTTATGTTCTTTCTAATGTAGAAACTGTTTTTGGATAAATTATGAAGGATTTTTTCTTATCCTTCAAATACAAAGGAATTATTTTTCTATTCTATGAGAAATCGCAATGCATTCGAAATAGTGCTTAAATAGAGCTCTATTAGAATACTGTCTAAACATAATTTCGAATACATTACGAATTCTTATGGAGTAGAAAAGTGATTTTTTTTGTATCTGAAGAAGAACTCAGAACTGGTGACGTAGGAAAGAACTCCTTTTGAACTCTTAAGAATTCTTTTAGAACAGAAATGATATATGGGAAAAGAATACATTTAAAAAATCGGGTTTTTAAAAAGAATTCTTTTTCAATTCTCTGTGCTATCTGGGAAGCCTACTTAGAACTTGATCCGTTCACTCGTTATCGAGATCTCAACATCTCGGGTACTCGCAACCCGTCGCGTCGCGTAAAAGAGTCACGGTCGGTCTCGCTCCGCGTGTACTTGGCGCGAGACACTACCGTGTCTCTTGATAACTTCAAATTTTATATTTACGAATGGAGTAAAATTGTCATAAAATGTTATTAATATGAAAAGAAAATAATAAACACAAATTAGCAGTTTGTTCATGTATATAAGTAAAAACATTTTACAATTCAAAATATGAAAATTGCATCGATAGCTTGGGGTCCAATTAGGGGGGGGTTTCTCTCATAATATTCCGCTACGTGCCCTACGAGCGGAGATATTGCGACGCAAAGTCCAAATGGGAAAATTTATTTTTAAGATACTTCTTCTTCTACTTCTAACGCCGACTTATATGATGACGTCATAATCAGAAACGTCACTTTCACTTTTTCGACGCTGGCGGCGCAGGTATCGCCAGTTTCGATATCGCGCGCATATTTCGAAATTAGGTCGATAGACTTATCGGTCAGGAGGAAGATTTCTATTTAGGTAAATTAGGTATATACTTATATAATATATATTGAGTCAATTGCTTCATGTTTATCTGGAGTAGAGTCCTATAGTCAGAGAAGCGACATTAGCGAACTCCTTTTGTTGGTCAACTGAGTCACGTGGTTTAGTCGCCATTTTGTGTACCAATGTAGGGCTCCATATACAACAGCGAGCTATGCAGTGCTACGTACATACATACATACAGAAGGAGACTGTTAGAAATTATAAGGTAAAATCTTATTTTACGTAATATGTAATATATGAATATGTAATATTATTATATTATTATGGGTCCCTTTTTCCAATGTCAGTTAACATATCATATTATAAACATTGAACAGATTTAATATAAGGTTAGTTTGTGTCTCTGCATTGTCATTACTTAATGTATATATGTTTATTACCTAATTATTTACTTACATTAAAATCTTATAGGACTGTAATCATACAATTTTTTTTTTATATGCAGTTGAAATGGTTCGTACGTGTGTGGTAAAGGGCTGTAATGTTCGGGTGGGACAGGGAAAGCAGCTCTTTCGCTTTCCTAAAGATCCTGAGAGACGTTCTGTTTGGATGTCGAGGATTGGACAGACATTATGGTATCCTGGAGTCTCCAGCTACATTTGTGAGGTGAGATATTTTTATTACTCCTCGCATATGTGACATATTTACACATGATGCATTGATTAATTTTGGCACAATTTCAGAATCATTTTGATGCATCACAGTGGGAAAAAGTACGTGCAGATGGGTCCAGAGTGCTACGATCTTCTGCAATACCTTTGGCTATAGAAAATAATGAAAACATCTCTCTTACAATGCATGACCATCGATATGTTATTGACGTACATCAGCGTCATCCCTTTCGAGATCTCACTACACAATTGAACCGCTTACCTCATGATCATGGCTGTACCTCAATTCAATATGAGCCATCAGAATCCATTCAAGTTAAAGAAAGCCAAATAATAGCCAAAACAAATAACATTGTAATAGAAGGTGTGCCATATCAGGATAAAAACCAAGAGCTTTCTTTTACTTCTTCTCATGACCTCTCTGTTATGGACTTTCCAAAGGAAATTAGTCATGAACTTTCTGCACCTTGCATTGCAGACCATAGTACCGATGATTTCAACCGATTAACTATTTTGGCCGATATCTGTGCTGCTTCTGAACCCATTCATATACCTCCATCTACTGCAAGTCCATCATCAATAATAATTAAAGAATTACAAGTTCAGTTGAAAAAACAAGAGGAAGAAATAAAAACCTTACAACATAACAATAAGCGTCTGACTACCATAGGAAAACAAATAACAAAAAAATTCCATACTGTTAAGTCTATTTATGAAAAATATAAGTGTAGATTGTGGCGCTTAAAACAGAAGAATGCAAAGTCTCTTGACTTAACATCAAGGTTACGTGCTGACCAGATTGCATCTCTAAAAAGGCAGTCTATTCGTGGTCGATTTAATTGGAGTCCAGAAACTGTCAAGGATGCCCTTGTGTTTAAGATGAAATGGGGTACTACAAATTTTTGTGATTTTGTGAATTATCTACCCATCTTTCCATCAGTTAGGACCCTACAAAGAACGGTAGAACATATTTGGTTTGAAAGTGGCATCTTAGATGAGGTCTTCGACATGCTCAAATGTGCAGTAAAAAATATGTCTGAAAATGAAAGAGATTGTATGATTGTTGCAGACGAAATGGCAATTAAAGCTGGATTAGTGTTTGATCCTTCAACTAAAAAAATGATAGGAAATTGCACCTTTCCTTCTCATGTTGCACCAGCTAAAAAGGTCCTTGTCATCATGTGTGGAGGAATTAGTAGACGATGGAAAGTTGCTGTGGCTTATTTTTTTACTGGGAAGGAAGGACCCAAAATAATGGATAAAAAGTCTAGCAGTGGCAGTGTCTTCAAGGATATAATACTGAAAGTCATAGACAAGTGTGAAAAAATAGGGCTGAAAGTTCACTCAATTACAACTGACATGGGGTGTGAAAATCGAGCCATGTGGAATATGTTTGGTATTGGTTGCACACGTGAATCTGATGCTGTAGTCAGCATACAGCATCCAGTTAGAACAGAGGATAGATTTTACTTTATACCGGATCCAGTACACTTATTCAAAAATATCTTAACTATGCTTGAAAGCAACAAAATTATTTATCTTCCTTATGACTTTCTTGTTTCTGAGAAATTAACGGATCCAGTAGTTAATATCCAACATATAGATGATGTGTTAGAGTTCGAATTACAATTTGAAATAAAAATAGCTTACAGATTAAAGAAGACTAAGGTTCATTGTCGAAATTCATACGAAAAGATGAAAGTTGGAACGGCCCGGTCAGTCTTCAATCGACGAACCGAGATTGCGCTGAGAAAATATGCTGAACGTACTGGTAAAGACGCTTATAGGACCACTGCTTCTTTTATTAGATTAGTGAGCCATTGGTTTGATATAATGTCAAACAGATCATCGAAGCTGGCTCTTGGTCTGTTGAACAAGAAAGCATATGAAGAAACAATGGACCACATCAAGAAAACTGCTTATGTATTTCGTTTTATGATAGTAGGCACTGATGGGCACTGGAAGCCTTGTCAAACAGGCGTTATCATGGCATGCGCAAGCATCATTGGCTTGCAAGATTATTTTTTGTGCAAGCGTTGCTACAAGTTTATACTTACTGGTCGGTTTTGTCAGTGTTGTATTGAAAACCTTTTTTCTGCCCTGAGAGTGAAACAACCCATTCCAAACCCTCTCCAAGTAAAACAAAATTTAAAGGTTTTGGTGCTGAGCCAGGTCTGTATTAATGCTAAGAATAGCAGCTACGATAATGATACGTATGATGAAGGTGTTGAGGATATAAGAATAGATTTTATGAAATTTTCTAGAAATATAGCTATAGCACGACGTGAAGAAAATGTTATTGAAGAATTGATGGAATCATCTGCTTTAGCATTGCCTCAACTAAAAGATCATCACATAAACATATTAGATTCTTGGGAGTTGCAGATCTTATATGACATGGCAGGGTCAGTTGTTCATAGTATAAAAATAAGTAGCACGACAGTTTGTGATGTGTGTCTCAATTCCGTCCTATGGCAGGGGAGCGACCGCCATCCTTATTCCCTCGTAACTGAAATGAGAAATTACAAACACAAGAACCTCGTGGAAGTTTCCGATGAATGCTTCAAAGCAATCGTAAAATCAGAAATAACATTCAAAGAAATACGGCATGATTTGTGTGAAGCTAAAATTAACATGATAGATTTCTTAGTAAAGCAAATGGAATATGTATGGGATGGCTGCAATATTCCCACATGCCATTCTATTACACACAAAATTCTAAAGAAGTTTTTTACTATGAGGCTACGGACATATAGTATTAAACGCTGTGAAGATTTAGCACATCTTAATGGAAGGCGTTACGACAGCAAAACTATGGCTATGCATGCTTCTGTGAAAAAGGTGTTTTCATAAAAATAATGTAATTAAAGTTATAATCTCAATCAGTTTCTTCATTATTGCTAAAACTTTGATTTTCTTTTTGTTATTATGTGATTTTAGCAATTCTTTTTTAATTAAGAAGACTATTTTTTTTATTGAGAAGACTGTTTTGCAGTGCTGTGATAGAAAAAAATTATATATTTTTGTTTAAGTTAGTCTTAGTACTGCATATATAAATGTGACAGGGTAATTAGGCTGTGCCTAGAGATTAAGTATTTGGTCTTGTACCGTCCATTAGCTATATCAAAACAATTATAATTATATACTTATATATTTCTAAATAATTATATATAACATTTATGTAATCGTGCATTAATATATTTATAATTTATGTTTATGCGCGCGTCCACACACACAGACACACACACATATTTTCATTTATTTTAAAAAATGTAGAAATTTATAGAATAGCTACAAAATATATTTATACATGTATGTACGTTTACTTTTTAAAATATATTTTGTTATTAATGACATGAGTATGTAATTATTCATTGATATACGTAATCTTGCATATGTAAAGACAATATTTAATGATTTTTAAAATTAATTTCTTACTAATATTACTATTACTATTACTAAAGTTAGTTTCTTACTATTATATCTACTAATAACAATAATATAGAATTATAATTTGCATATTTTGATTTTTATTAAAATTACTTTTGCTGGACCTTTATATTCAATAAGATTAATATTAGGTATATGTGTTTCTTAACAATTAAAATAATATGTAAATGTTATTACTGTTAATAATAGCAATGTGTTATCTAATTAATATAAATATTAATACTTATACGTGTATTATATAATATTAATACTAATACTTATAATGGGTCTTGGTGTATGGCTGTGCTGAGAACAATAGCGTACTTCCATTGCACTGCATATGTATGCATTGGCTGATAGTATATTTCTTTGAAATATTTTAGTTGCAAGATAGAAAATAAACAAAAGTCATTTAATAATTCACCAATTATTTTACAATAATAATAAGAATTCTCTATAGTAACAATTCACTGTACACTTATAAAAAAAGTTATCCACATAATAAGGTAATGTCATACAGATATTTGTTGCTGGTGATATGAACACCAAAACCTCTAAGATCAAAAACAGTAATAATTAAATTTACATCATACGTTAAACACGTTAAATTTACATCATATGTTAAACACGTATTTCATTCTGCATTCGATTCGCATACATCAAATATGTTTTTCATAAAATATATTTCATTCTTCATTCGATCTATCTCATACAGAATTCTTTTAATTTTATGAAGTTTCATGTTCTGCTTCAACTTTAAACACCTAATGATTCCGGATTTGACCATATATTCCCTCTGTAAAGCTTGCAACAACTCTAATTCTTCTGAGGATGAAAACTCAGAGTTGTGGCAATGTGCAAACACCTGATTCTGCATGGGATCGCACATTTTCTTTATAAAACGCTTCTCGTAACGCTTTGATTCTTTTAAGAATAATGAATCAGAGTTGTGGCAGTATGATATTTCCAGTATTTCCTGAGCTGACTTTATTGTATAACTTTTAAAGGGATGTACATTCAAAAAACTGCAAACTGCAAGAAATCATATACTAAATTATATACTGATCATATATTAAAGCTGCATTTCGATATTTATTGCCAGCATTAAAATCAAGTTTACATCAATACACTATACATTTTCGGCACTGGCAATGAATAATGGAATGCAACCTAAAGTAATCGAAACACAGGAAGGCTGAGATTTCATACATCCGACAACGACATTGTCGGATGAATGAAATCTCAGCCGAATACTCCAAAATTTTTGCTGTGAATAAAAACTAACCTCGAAATTAGAATGCAGAATGTGTTTGCAAAGATTGAAACCGAGAACGTCTGCGAGAAACGATGAAAGTACTGGAAAATCTAGAAAAGAAAATAATTCATTTTGAGTTAGCTTTTGCCCAACATAATCTAACCTCACAACCTTACATTATTTTCTCGAAACTACAAATTATTTTCACTTTCACGTTCAACGTAGAGCAAATTCAATTGCACTATCGAGCGCCACTATATTCAGACGATACACTCAGGAAAAACAAGGAAAATTACTTACAATTGCTGTTATGTAACTGTGTGCTCCAAACTCGGTTTGTGACGTCACCAGCTGTTGCAAGCTCACATACACTTACTCTATACACTCACGGATCAGCTGCTAGGTACACAAGATGGCGGACAGAAGTCATGGTGGGGGTAAATGTCGCTTCTCTGACTATAGGACTCTAATCCTACTATCTCTGATTCCTCAATGTCATTACAATAAGAATTTAATTTAAATATATGATGCGCTTGTCTGTAATGTTACGAAACATGTCTATCAGAAAGTAAATGAAAGAAAGTAAATCATCGGCAGGAAATAATATGAATGATTATCGTTCCAAGACGTATATACCAACGCTTTGAATCCCGATTCAACTTTATTCCATCTAGAAACGGCCCAGTCAAAAATGTAACCTTGATTCAAGGTTAATTCAACGTCGATA